TGATGAGCCTCACCCACACCATGCGCAGCAAGGTAAGCCTGGCACAGAAGAGCACAGGTGGGGGATTCCACTCATGGAATGGCCTGCTGTGGTTAGGTGCCAAGTGCCAGCCTCAACACACAGCAACCCGCGTGCCCCGGAACCAGACACAGCCCGGACCCGCGCGCGCGTCTCAGAACTGTGCCTGTGTGGGCCATGGTTGCAGCCACCATGTCAATCCATCTCAGCGAGAATCTTTCTCTTTCTCGAGAACCTTCTACTTTGCCCAGCATGATGCCCTTTTCCAGGGACTGGCCTCTCCTGATAGCATGTCCAAAGTAGGTGAGGCGCATCTTGCCATCTCTCGTCTGATCGTCCGGTTGCGAGTTTTCCAAGGCAGATTGTCCATTCCTCCGGCGCTTCGCTACTCGTCACCAGCACCTTCGTTCAAGGTGACATTTCTGCTTTTTTGCTTAAAGAAGGTCTTGTGCCGCCGACTGGCCACTGCGATGCAGCAGTAGATCTCTTGACTCTTGCTTCCCTGAGCATTGACTGTGGATCCAAGCAAGAAGAAACCCTTAACACCCTCCGTCTTTTCTGTTTCTCAGACGGAATAGGCTGAGAAAGCAAATCCACAGACACAGAAATAGACCAGGACCACGTTGGCTGAGGCCAGAGGTGGATGGGAGGGACTGCTGACAGGCTGTGAAGGTGCCTTTCATTGGGGTCGGGGGCAGGAGGGGGCGGGAAGGACCACGTGTGGGGGGTGGGTCGGGGGGAAGATTGTGCCCCCACAAAAAGCCCCCACAAGCCCCAGAAGGATGGGCGACATTCGGGACAAGCCTGAACGGAGCCTGGGAGCCTCGCAAGAGCAACAGTGCCTCCGGACAACTTGAAGAAACAAAGGCCACCATCCAGTCCATTCTAACTCACCCTGAGCCCAGGGGACAAACTAGAGCTGCCCTCGGCGCTCCCAGGGTGCTCAAAGCAGAACGCCAGGTCTGTCTTCCGAGGCACCTTTCTAAGTGGGTTTGAACGGCTGACCCATTGGCTAGCAGCTGAGCGCTGTGACCACCACACCAATCAGACTCGTGCCCAGCGGCTCCGCAGAATGAGAGCGGTTGCTGGGGTTCCTGCTTGTCACCCGGGGCTACCGCAGCGGGGGCGGCTCGCACTGTCAGATCTGTGTTTCGGGAGCTGAGCGTGGGGCAGATGCTGCCCCTCAGCCGGCGGAGACCCGCAGGACCTGGCCGCGTCCTGGCTGCCTTTCAGAGGGATCCACATCAGGAAGGCTCCGGGCGTTCACGTGCAGCCTGAATTTTTTATTTCCTTTTTAACTCAATGTTGTTGTTGCTGTTTGCTCCCACAGAGTCCGTCCTGATGCCCAGTGACCCCAGGAGCCAGGGGGAGAGGGGCACTAGGCTATAATCATTAGACGCGGATGATAGGGTCTTTCTCCCACAGAGAGGCGGGTAGGTTGGAACCGCCAACCTTTCCATTGGCTGCCAAGTGCTTCACCATTGCACATCCAGGGCTCCTGTGTGGTTTACGGACGCATCGTTCACATACAAGGAACTATCTCCTGAGTGTACGGCATGATATGGTCTGATAAGGATCGTGTGCCGTGTGGAACCATAAGCCTACATACGAGTGAAAGTGTTCTAAATGGCAACCACACCTCGATCCAGATCGAGGGACCCCATCAGACCAGACAGTTCCCGAGGGCCCCACCCGCAGCCCCAGGCGACACCCCCTCCCTCGATGTCAGTACGGAGCGCGTTTCCTGTTTTCCAGAATTTCATAGCTATGAACAGGCACCGGCATGCTGCACTGTATCACTGCTGTCCCGAGATGCACCCCATTCTTCCAACCACTCACCAGCCGTGGACACGGGCTGCGGTGTGCCCATAATGCACGTCATGCAGTATACTATTAAATATCGTGACTAGTATAGGATGAAATTGCACTGTGGTGTCCTGATGCAGCCATGAGCATTCTTGCACACGCCTTCATGTGAAGCTATCTTTTTATTTCTCTTGAGTAATAACTAGGCAGCTGGGTGGTAGGTCACTGTGCTGTCCACACAAAATACCCCTGAGGGCCAGTTAGCAGGTGGTCACCTCTGCTCTGATCCGGCCACCTGGTTTCACAAGGAGCGAGAAAGACAAGAGGGAGAGAGAGCCACAGCACTAGGATCCAGGGTCCTGTCCAGGCCACACAACCTCTTGCCTGGACCGGGCCTCCTTATCATCTGGGCATCAGAGCTTTCCTGAGCCAGGAACCTTTGGCCCCGAAAAAAGCTGGCCACACACACCCACTACACACCTCCTCACCCCGCCCTTCCCTAAAACATTCCTGTAGAACAAAGCAAGCACGCACACACACACACACTCACACCTCCCTTCTACAAACCCCTCCCAACGCTTCCTGAAGCATTCAGAAGAGAAAGCAGAGCAAAGACTCACCTCCTCCTTGGACGGGGAGTCTGGCATTGGTCGCTAGACCACTGGCCACCCTCACGGCCGCCTGAAGCCCTACGTTACGGGGCAGATTGTCCAACCTGCCGGGACAGTGTCCATGGATGTGCCGGTCCCTGTTGGGGTTATTTACTGGGATGTCTTTGGGCCTCAGGCGAGCTTGGGGGTTATATTTCGTTGTTGATGTTGTTAATAGCTTTATTAGTACTTCATCCACATGCCATATCACTCGATAATTCAATCATAACCAGAAGAGTTGTACGGTTGCCAGCACCGTCAATTCTAGACCACTTCCTTGTCCTCATTGTGAGTCGTGTAACTTTTTTTCTGAACTGTGGTAAAAAAAATACATAACAAAACATTCCCTAATTCCACAAGTTCCACGTGTGTAATTCAGTGCCATCAGTCGGGGGGGCCATTGAGGGGACTGGTGGGCCTCCGGTGCTCACATGCACCCACCTCAGAGTGGTGGCTGCACCCTGTCCATCTGCAGGGAGAAGAGCGAGCCCTCTCGGGGAGGCCTGAGGTTCTGAGAGAGCTCAGTCTGAGCTACATGCCATGCGCTACAGCACCTGCTGGTCCCCCAGCCCGGCTGCTGTGCCACCTCTGAGAAAGTAGGTGCACCGGGCCTCCTGGAGCCACCCTCCCCTGTGCATACCTCTCCTCTCCTCTAAGGGCCTCCCTCTTCCCTGCCCTCCTCCTTTTGATCCGGAACTGAGCGGAAGGCATTGTTTAATCCCAAATTGGTCTGTCTGGGTTCCTTGATAAGAGTCCACTAGAAAAGAGACCCCCTCCCTACCGACCACCCAGGAAGAACCCCACCTATGATCCATTTTAAGTACTTGTCCCTCAGAGGATTTTCAGAGACTGTCCTCTTAAGGAGCCCTGATGGCAAGGTAGGTTACCCACTGAGCGGCTAACCACAGAGTTCGTGGTTCAAACCCATCAGCTGCTCCACGGGGAAAAGGTGAGGCTAGCTGCTTCTATACAATGTCCAAGTCTCGGGAAACCCACAGGGCATGCTCCTCTGTGCTATACGGGCACCAGGAGTCAGAATCCACTCAATGGCAGGGGTTTGGTCTGGGTGTGATTCTTTCAGAAGATCCCAGGCCTTTCTCCTGCGGAGCCTCTGGGTGAATTCAAACGCTCACCTTTGCCTCGTACCTGAGCACCTAACTCTGGGCACCAGGAGATGTACATACACACCTCTAAGTCGCTGCCAGGTGCCAGCAAGCCAGTTCTGACCCCCAGTGACCCTGTGTGCAGCAGAACGCAGCACCGCCTGCTCCCGCGCCATCCTCACGATTGTGTGGTGTGAGCCCACTGTTGCAGCCACTGTGCCAATCCATCTCCCTGAGGGTCTGCCTCTTTCCCCCGGCCCTCTCATTTACCAAGCCTGATATCCTTCTTCAGGGACATCCTTCCTGACAATGTGACCAACGTACAGGAGACCAAGTCTTGCCATCCTTGCCTCGAAGGAGCATCCTGGCTGTGCTTCTTCCAAGACAGATCTGTTTGTTCCTCCGGAATGTCCTTCGCCAGCACCACCGTTCAAATGCTTCCATTTGCATCAGTCCATGTTGCCTGTCCAACGTTCACGTGCATGGAAGGCCATGGGAGACACCGTGGCTTGGATCAGGAGCACCTTAGTCCTCAAAGTAAACTTCTTGTTTTCCAACACTTTAAAGAAGTCTTATGCAGCAGATTGACCTAATACAATGCAGTTTTTGACCTCCTGACTGCTGCTCCCATGAACACTGACTGGGGATCCAAGCAAGAGAAAATCCTCGACAACTTCAATCTTGTCTCCATTGATCAGGATGTCACCTGGTGGTCGTTTGGTCTTCCGGACATTGAGTTGCACTCCACACTGAAGGCTACAACCCCCATCTTCATCGGCAAGTGCCGCGAGCACTTCGCCCTCACTTCCAGCAAGCAAGGTTTGTCGTCTGCACATCACAGGTTGTTAATAAGTTTTCCTCCAATCCCGATGCCCCATTCTTCATGTACCCCAGCTTCTCTGACGATCTGCTCAGCACACAGATTAAATAAGTGTGGTGAAAGGACGCCATCCTGACGCACACGTTTCCTGATTTAAAATCAGGCGACATGCTCTGTTCTGTATACACACCTGCTTTTTGATCCAGGTACAGATTCTGAGATACATATCTATGGATCTGTGTATCCATGTGTCTGTATATCTGTATGAGCCATGGTGGCTTAGTGGCTACACATTGGGCTGCAATCCACAAGGTCTTCCAGCCACTCTGCTGGAGAAAGACAGGGCTTCCCATTCCTATAAACGGTGGCCGTCTCGGGAACTCACAGGGGCAGTTCTAGCTCATCCTGAAGGGTCACTATAAGTTGACATCCACTCAATGGCAGTGAGTCTGGGTTGGGGGAGCAGTAGTGTTATCTATCTATATCTGTCGAGCTAGTATATAGAAGGTACTATATACAGTAGCTGCACTGCAGCCTCAAGTCTTTTGATGCTGAGATCATGAGAGCTCCTGCCATCCTCCCTCGCATTCTCACAGCCTCTCCCTGGAGCCTTCTATCCGCCTGCTCCGACAGTGCCCGGTGGCATCCAAGGCTGCAGCATGGCCATGATCCTGGAATTTCCCTTCCTGCCTCCCCTGGGATAGAGTACTGTTTTCCAATTCCACGTCTTCCTCTCTTCTGTCTTTCTTTCCCCCCTTATTTAGCTGGGTGACATCTTCAAATCGTTTTCTAATAGAAGATACAAGAAAGGAAACTCTCGTGTCTGGAAATGTTTTTATTCTGCCTTCGAACTTGATTGTACTTTAACTGGTAAATAATCTAGATTTGGAACCGTCAAGCTATAAGCCTTTACAGAATACTTGTTCTTGTCTTTTAAATCCTCTGATGTTCTTAGGCTCTGTCTTTGTCCGTGGAGTCCTAAAACACACTGAGAGCACACCTACGTGTGGGGAGCTTCCATTTGTCCCGCTTTGCCCTCGGTCTCATGCTTTTCCATCTGAAAGGCTGTTCTTCTATTACTGCGTTGAGTGTCTCCCCTGGCAAGCTCCCCGGCCCAGCTGCGCCTTCTGTGCTCTCTCGAGATTTCGATTGGTGAGATGCAGCTCTCAGTCGACGAATCCTCTGGGTTCGTATCTTTCCGTTCACGTTTTCCATCTTGCTGGGTGTTCTGGAAGATCTCCCTAACTTTATCTTTGAGTCCTTCCACTGCAACCTTTCCCCCCAGCAACTGTATCACCTACTGTCTGCACCAGGGTGGGCACAGTTGGGAGACAGAAACAGTGATCTGAAAGTTTAATATAAATGAGTCGTCAATGGTGACAGAAGAGTAGTTAAACAGATGTAGAGAAACAGTGAAGGGCATGCTCAGCTGAAGGAGCACACCCAAGGAAAGACAAGGCACCGGTGCTCCCTGGAGAAGGTGTCGGTGAAGCCCTCTGGATGGCAGAGAACGCGTCTAGATGTCCTGCCCCAGAGCTGGTCCACAGTCACCAAGTGCCTTAGTTATCCAGAGCCACTATCACAGAAATACCACAACTGGATGGCTTTAACAAATGAATTTATTCTCACAGTTTGGGAGGCAAGGTCTACATTCGAGACACTGGGTCTACAGAAAGGCTTCCTCCCTGAGATTGTTTTCGTAGAAGCCCTTGCCTCCTGTCAACGCTGTGAGCGCAATAGGCCTTTGAGAGCCGCATCTGTCTTGTCATCGGTCTTCCCCTGGGTCTAGGAGGTTCTCAGCACAAGGGTCCCCTGTCCAAGGGTCGCGCTTGCTCCCGACTCTTCTTTCTTGATAGCGGCAGGACCCTCCTCCTCTGCTTCCTCCTCTCTCCTTTTATCTCTTGTAAGCTATTCAGAGAGCTTCTAGAGACCCTAGCAAATGTGATAATGCAAGAAAAGGAAACCAAAGGAAGATCAAGCCGTTATTCCCAGGTGGTATGATTGAGAAAATAGACAATCCAAAAGACTTTCTGTTTTAGATCAAATGATGAGGTGTCGAAGCGATCAGGTGTAAGGCATCATCAGAACAAAAAATCTTACCATAGTGAATGATGGGGGGAGTGCGGAGCAGAGATCCAAAGCCCATTAGTAAGCCACTGGAGATCCCCTTGCAGAGGGGTCTTGGGGAGGAGATGAGCCAGTCAGGGTGCGATGTAACAATGATGAGAAATACAACTTTCCTCTAGTTCCTAAATGTTTCCTCCCCGCTCCCACTACCATGACTCGAATTCGACCTTGTAAGTCTGGCTAGACCAGAGGATGTACACTGGTATAGATAGGAACTGAAAATACAGGGAATCCAAGACGGATGAGCCCTATAGGACCAGTGGTGTGAGTGGCAAAACAGGGAGGGTAAAGGGAGAATGGGTAGGAAAGAGGGAACTGATTACAAGGACCTATATGTGACCTCCTCCCTGGGGGTCAGACAACCGAAAAGTGGGTGAAGGGAGACGTCGGACAGGGCAAGATATGACAAAATACCCATTTATAAACTATCAAGGGCTCATGCGGGAGGGGGGAGCGGGGAGGGAGGGGAAAAATGAGGACCTAATGTCGGGGGTTTAAATGGAGAGAAAATGTTTTGAGAAACGATGTACAAATGCGCTTTACACAATTGATGTGTGTATGGATTGCGATAACAGTTGTATGAGCCCCTAATAAAATGTTAAAATAAAAAAATTTTTTTTAAAAAGATAAAGTCAAATGAAATACCCGTTCTTATCATCCAAAAAAAGGTCAAATATTGGCAAGATTGATTTCAGACCACTGCCCTAAAAGGACTAGTGCAACAACAACAACAAATCAAGTCACATGTACTGTTTGGTTTCTAGTGTCTATGAAAGCTGTGCTTACTTATACAGGAGAGACCAGTTCTGCATCAGGACCCTGTGCTTGGTCAAGCAGCGGGGCAGCAGACCCTCAGTGAGACGGATGGACAGGGGCTGCCGTGAGGGGCAACAGAACCGTTGTCCGGCTGGTGCAGGGCCAGGCAGGGCTTTATTCTGTGGCTCAGAGTTGCTGTGAGTGGGAGCCAACTTGACGACACGTAACGACAACATCAAGGGTGCGACAGCATCGGAGAAACATTTGGAAGGTTGTAAGAATGACCACAGCGTGTCACAGAGACAGGACGTGAGCATGCGCTGCTGGGAAACGACGGCGCTGATGGAGTCCTTGGCACAGGGTGGCCACAACCATCCCACTTTGGGTGTGTGTGTGGGGGGAAACACCCTCTCTGCCAAGTGCAGCAAAGAGAAATGGCAATAAACGAGGCGTGCCTGTGGAGCGGATAACTGCAAGGTCAGCAGTTCGAACCCACCAGCCACCCTTCAGGGGAAAGATGAGGCTTTCTGTCCCTGTGAGTATTCACAGCCTCAGAAACTCAAAGGGGTGGCTCTGCTCTGCCTGGCAGGTGCTCACGAGGAGTCTGAGTCAGCTGAAAGCAGTGGATTTGGTTTGCCTCCAGATGCTTGTGCGGTAGGAGTCTGTTTCCTGAACGTTCAAAAGCAGGCAAAACCAACTAGAGGGGTGCTCGCTGTGTGGCTGGGTGGGAAAGGTAGAAAGGCAGGAGGGAAAGGAAAGCTAACTGGGGAGGGACCGTGGAGCAGGAGAGTGGTTAGGCTGAGAGGGCTCTGGGGGTAGGGAGCATTTGCGTGGTACTGGTGAGCTTCGTGATCACGCACTGAACTGCCCCGCCTCCCCAAAGGCCCACATACATGTGGTAGGGCTCTGGACTCTGTTTCACAACAAAGATGTTAAGAAAAGAATTCTTGACAGTGCTCGTGTTTTCAAAATGTTGCTAACCTCCGGCCACATCTCAGCTAGAAGCCCTTTCCGCCTTTAAGCAAAGATGAGACTCTTGGTAATGCCCTCCCAGCCCTGCGAGTCTGGCCCCTGCTGCCCTCCGCAGTCCTGCCTCCCTGTCAGGACCTGGACCTGGAGCTGGGTCAGCTCACCAAGGGAGGACGCATTTTCCTGCTGATTGACACTTGCTGTCCCCTGCCTGAACACCTTTCTGTGCAGGAGCAGTCTCCCATCCCCTCTCTGCCTGGCCCCCTCCCTGGCACCCCTTGCTAGAACGAAATGCAAAGAAGCCCCTTAGGACTCCTAGTAGCCCGTGCCTATCAGAGCGGAACTGGGCTCCGCAGGGGGTTCTGGGGTGGAATCTTTCCAGAGAGCACATTGCCAGGCCTCTCTTTTGCAAGATAGACGGACGGGTTCAACCCACCAGACTTTCAGTTAATAATGGAGAACTTACTGTTAACACCACCCCCGGGACTCTTATAGCTCTGCTCAAATATCACTCCTGGCCCAACCAAGGCCACACACACACACACACACACACACACACACTCACTCACTCAAGGCCACACACACACACACACACACACACACACACACACACACACACAGTCATTTCACTTTCTCGGCATTCGATCCTCCAGCGGTCTCCCTGTCGTGCCTTTAAACAAATGATGCCAACACTTGTCCATGCTGAAGCCTGTCTCCCCCCGCGCTGCCGTGAACACCGGGAAAACAGAACAGGGCCCGGCACACCCGCCACCCACCGCAGTCCCAGGCTCACAGCAGGCCCTCAGAAATGTTGCTAAGCAAACAACTCCCCCACCTACCCACCCTACCCCCATTGTCTAGCTCCCTCATTGTCATCTGGACCAGGAGGGCAGACACACCTTGAAACTCTCTTCTCTCCCCCCCGGAAGAGCACACAGCCTGTGCCCTTACTGCCAGGCCCATCCCGCAGGGCTCACAGCGCACCAGACACTGTGCCCTGGCAGGGAGAGATTACCTGACTCTGGGCTGGGCTGCCCAGAGGAGGGATGGTGGGGAACCCTCTTGGACGGCAAAGTATCTTCTGGGTTGACACTGGAGGTGGGCGTGGCCTCAGGAGCTTCACTTCTGGAAAGGAACCAAGATTAGACTGACCAGGAGGCCACCTGGGGCAAGGAAGGCGTGTGCTCACGGGTAATGGGGTCTACAGCGCCCTCAGGCCCTCTGCTCCTGCTGCTGCAGGCCACAGCGGACTTCTCCTCGGGAGCCAGGGCTGTGTATTCTTGGCCTTGGGCAGGGCTCCCAATAATCAAAATACCTGGACTAGGCCCCACCTGCAACCCCAGCCAGCCAAGCCCGTGCATCTGGGGCTAGAAGGTAGGAAGGAGGTGGGGTGGGGGTGGGGGGTCACCTGGTGGGCGTCTTGCAGTCCTCTGAGCTGGTGCAGCCAGAATGGATCCCCTGGGGAGCTGACACACAGACAGTGTCTTTCTCAGCTGTGCCTGCAGGGGGCGACAATGCCCTCAGAGACTGTACCAAGGAGCCTGAGGTGTCCAGGCATACACCTTCCACCCCACAAAGGGATGGGGCCTTGGAAAATTCTGTGGCCAGCTGGCATCCTTGAGTGAAGCACCCTGATCTCCCCTTGGAAAGTACTCAGTCTCAGTGTTTGGGGTCAAGGGCCTGTGCCAGGAGGAGCCTTGTGACCAGAAGGGACCCGTCACTCCTCTGGCCATATGGACTGGTTTGGAGGACACAGGACCCAGACCAGGCGTTTCAGAAGGAATTGCAAGACTTTGTACTTGGAGAAGCTGTCAGCCCACTGGGCTTTCTGGGACTGCTAATAGGCATCCTACCAGGCAAACCACCACAGAAGCCAAAGAGTTTGGGAGTTTGTTACTCTTGACCCAAAGAGTTGAAGAAGGTTGAGCTGAGTGGAGAGGAGCAGGCTCTGGACTCTCCGGCAGGCGGTTCTGAGCTTGCTTGCCACCTTGGCCGCGCTCCAACTATACCAGGCAAGTAAACTTCTCCTAACCTTGGTTTTCTCCTTGGTAAACTAGGTGTGCTAGCGCTCTCCCAAGGTCATCATCAGGATAAACAGAAGAGCCAGAGGTCATGTATCTTCCCCACCGTGCAGCACAAAGTAAATGTTCAATGAACGCCATGTCCTTCTCCCCATCTGGACACCCACGCTGTCGTTCATGTAGACAGTGACGCTGGGACGGGATCTGAAGGTTTCGGGGCAGGAGAGCGCAGCAGCGCTGCCATCTCTTGTGTCTGCAGTGCGGACCCACAAGTTTACATCCCGGCTCAGTGTTCAAATCCGGACTCTGCTCTTCCCTACTCTGTGCTCTTGGGAAACTGAGCCATCTTCTCTGGGTCTCACTTCCTCCCTGTAAAATGAGGCTAGTGCCCTGTGCTGAGGGCTCCAGAACTGTGCCAGTACTTCCCACGTGGCTTAGCCGCAAGCCAAACAAGAGGCAGACACAACTTCCCACGTCACAGCTGGGGAAACTGAGGCCCTAGAGTTGCTCCATGGGGAGACCACCAGCGAATCAAATGAAGCTGGGTTTGGCAGCCGAAAGTTGGGATGCCTCTTCCAAAGCCATGTCATCCAGTGGAAACATGATGCAAATCACACAGGCTTGTCTGATCTTAAATATTCTCACAAATATTCATTTTCATTTAAGTTTAAAAAACAAGGCCAAATTCACTTTAATAGCTTATTTAGCCCAATGTATTCAAAGTATTATCATGAATATTGAATCAATATGCAAAGTTGTTGAGATGCTTTATGGTTTGTTCTGGGGTGGGTTTTTTTTTTCTCACACTAACTTGAAAACCAGCGTATGGTAGCCCGTCCAACTCACAGTAAGCCTAGGTGACAGAGTAGAACTGCTGGACAGACCACCCCTTCTTCCCGGGGAAGCAGAGAGGCCTCTGGCGCCACCACGTGGCAGGCTCAGAAACACCTCTCAGAAGACCTCCGCAGGCCCAGGGTGCAATGGCTGAGCTAGAGCCCTGGATTTTTTACAGAGACACAAGAGTTTCTGGTCTGGAATGGCTCCCAAGGGCCTGCAGCCACCTCTCCTCATTTTCAGGAAGAGAAACGGGGGGCACAGGTCGTTTTTCTCCCTGGTGGCTCCCTCGGATCCTGTCTCCCCTCTTACTGGCCGACAGGGGCTGCCCCGGTGCACTCGAATGGTAGACTCCCTGAGTTCGCACAGCAAGTTGGTTAAGCAACCCAGGCGGAATGCTGGCGCTGGAAGCTGGGCTCTGACTCCCAAGGGCCCAGTCCTTCAAAGGGAGCCCCCGTGGTTTCCTTGTCGTCCTCAGGCTGCAGGGAGCTCCCTGGAGCCGCCACCCAGCCGAGACCTCCTCCGGCCGTGCTGCGCCGCGGGCCGCCGGCGCGCCACAGGCGGTGAGTTCCCGAAGCCGCCGGGCGCTGCGCGCGGAGACGAGCTCGAGCCCGCTGGAAGGAGGAAGTGGGCACCGGAAGTCGTTGCCGGGCCGGGAGCGGAGCCGGATGCGGCCAGGCAGGCCCGGATCTCGGTGCAGGCTGAGGGCAGGACTGCTTACCTCGGAGTTTGACAACCGTCCCTTTCGGGCAGACGGAGTGGGTCAGGCAGCGGGCACAAGAGTTGATGGCCGGCGAGATACAGAACATTCCAGGTCGACATTCACAGAAGCGGGGGGAGTTGTTTGTGCAGGGCCTCGTCTCCACAAGGTCATCTAAGGACACGGGGGACGATGATCAGCGGGAAGACGGGAGAGGGTGAGGGCGATCAGGGAAACCCCTCCTGGGGGAGAGGGAAGCAAAGCAGGGGCGCGGGGTTGCCCAACAAGAACGCAAAGCTCGAGAGCCGGCGCGCTGGGGCACACGCTCCAGCCGCACGTGCGGAGAGAAGGCAGGCAAAGGCAGGCCGGACCGCGGGCGACCATTGACCTAAAGCCCCAGAAACGGCAGGCTCTTCTGGAGCGCAGGAGGGCGATCGGGGATTGACTGGGAATGAGGATGGTGACTGGAAATGGTGGGACCGTGGGGCTGCAGGAAATTTGGGGGGTGCTGTGTCCATTTGATTGTAGTGATGGGTCCACAAGTGCGTGTGTGTGTGTGTGTGTGTGTGTGTGCCCATGAACACCTATCAGACTGCTGAATTGGGTCAAGTCTGTCTCAGGTCGTGGGGGTGGTTATCTAAGACGCAAGGAGGAGGTTGGGGAGGGCAGTAAAAGGAGAGCCCCCCTGGCTCCGAGGAGCAGTCCACAGTGGGAACTAAGGAGCGTGGGACCGTTTGCTGGCAGGCAGCGTGCTCGGCTCTCCTTTCCACAGTGTTCCCCGAATGCGGGCAAGATGGGAAGACTGGGACCAGGGTACAGACTGTCTCGCAGCCCACGTCCCTGGTGATCAGAGACCATGTATTTAAACTCAACCAAGGCCCCACGTTAACATTAGGCAAAGAATAGATCTCGACATTTCTCCGACAAGGAGATCTAAATGCCGAAGAAGCACATGAAAAGTTGTTCAACACCTTTGCCGTCAGGGAAATGCCAATCCAAAGCATAATGGGATACCCCTTCACACCACACAGATGGCTGTGTTTGGTTGTTTTAAGACAAAAATAACAGCTGCTGTGAGGATGCGGAGGAAGCAGAGGCCTCGGGCACTGCTGGTGGGCAGGCACACTGGGGCAGTCACTTTGCACACACACACGTTTTTGCAGTTCCTCAAAGTTAACAATAGAGTTGCCATATGACTCAAGGGTTCTAATCATAGATACACACACACATATATATATATATATATATATATAGAGAGAGAGAGAGAGAGAGAGAGAGAGAACGCCCTGGTGGCATAGTAGTTAAACATTGGGCTACTTACCACAAGATCAGCAGTTCAAAACCACCAGGTTCTGGGGTAGGGGGTGCGGATGGTGATGAGACTTGCTATCCTCATAAAGAGATACCATCTCAGAAACACAGGCAGCCCTACTCTGTTCCACAAGGTCCCTAGGAGTCAGAATCGACTCGCTGGCATTGAGTTGGGTTCTGTTTGGCTTTGAGAGATGCAAGGGGAAGTTGCAGCTATAAAAGGGATTCCCTGGAGCGCAGCGCCATGTGCTCATGACATTCTGTATGACATAGCTCAAAGAAAAACTACGTTTCCCAGCCTCCTTTATAGTCTGCTTTGGGTCATGTGACTGAGATCTGCTCACTGGGGCACAGTCAGACATGATCAAAGGCTCTCCAGAGACTCGCCTGCCTCTCTTCCTTACTTTAGAGATGCTGGTATTGTTCCAAAGGCTGACCTGCACCCCAGGAACTGTACTTGGAGGACAATAAAATCCTGAGATCTCAATCATTTGGAAAGGAGCAGACTGAGGGCAGTGAGAAGAAACTCCTATAAAATTCAAGAGAAGCCCTCAGAGGAGCAGCCCCTACATATGATCACAAACCTCATCAGAGGCAGGACAGACTGCCTGCTATTGCCAACTTCCAGGGAGCTATGCTGGCTATTGGTCATTTTGAATTAGAAAATCCTATGGTTTACTAAGCTGGGAATGACACAATCAAAAGGAACAGCCTTGCAGTCATCCTCAAAAAAGACGTGTCGAGATCTATCCCGAAGTGTCATGCTGTCTGTGATAGGATAGCGTCTACCCACAGACAGGGAAATTCAACCAATCGTAGCTATAAATTTATGTGCCAACCATGAAAGTGAGTGATGCAGAAACTGGAGAATTTCCCCAGAGTCTTTAGTCTGAAGTTCAGCAAGATGCATTGAGATTGACTGGTGACTGGAATGCAAACGTTGGCAACAGAATAAGGGACAATAGCTAGAAAATATGCATCAGATGGCGTAAGGCGTGACAAAATAATATGAATTTATAAATTATCGAGGGTTGGTGAGGGAGGGGAAAAATGAGCTGATACCAAGGGCTCAAGTGAAAGAAAATGTTTTGAGAATGATGAGGGCAACAAAT